TCCTGGAGGACCGCCAGTTCGAGCTTGCTTTCTAGTCCGAGGTTGCTCCCCATCTCTGTTCCATACTGCTAGTCCCTGAGGGTGACCCAGACGCTTTCGACATCCTCACCCCTCGCACTTACACTGAGGCGGTCTTGGGACCTGGGCCTCTCAGTGGATAGCTGCCATGGAGCAGGAGATGGCATCTTGGAGATCCATCGGCATCTACGTCGACGCAGTTCCCCCACCTAGGGTGAACGTAGTCGATGGCTGCTGGCTCTTCAATCGGAAGCGCCCTCCTCGAGAGCCACCTGTGTTCAAGGCGCGCTACGGGGCTAGAGGTTTCGGTCAGCGTGAGGGGGTGGACTTTTTCCAGAACTTCGCTCCGACCCCGAAGATGACTACTCTTCGGGCGCTGCTACACGTAGTAGCTCAGCGTGACTACGAGCTTCACTCCCTCGACTTCTCCACTGCGTTTCTCCCGGGCAGTCTACACGAGCAGGTCTACCTGCGTCGCCCTCAGGGTTTCACTGGCACGACACGCTGCGTGCTACCCTTGCTGACCTGCAGTTCTTTCCGTCCTCTGCAGACCCTTCGCTAGTCGTTCGTGCTGGCCAGACTCCCTTCTACATCCTTGTTTACATGGATGACCTGGTCTTCGCCACTGCTGACACGGACGCACTGGCCTCGGTGAAGGCAGAGCTGCTGAAGAGACACATCTGCACTGACCTTGGAGAACTGCGCCACTACCTTGGCTTGCAGATTTCCAGGGACAGGGCGATGCGCACGATCACCCTCACTCAATCACACTTGGTGCGCCAGGTCCTTCAGAGGTTCGACCTTCAGTTCTCCTCCGCACAGCCCACCCCTCTGCCTATAGACCACAGGCTCTCTCCTCCAATTCCTGAGGAGTCAGTAGAGCCCAGTGGCCCTTACGCTGAGCTGGTTGGTTGCCTCATGTACCTGACGACTTGCACTCGCCCAGATCTCGCATACCCTCTCAGCATCTTGGCTCGCTTTGTGGCCACAGGCAGACACCGACCTCAGCACTGGTCTGCCGCTAAGGAGTTTTGCGTTATCTTGCAAGTACATCGGGCATGGGATTAGTGCTAGGAGGGCGCAGGCCAGTGGTCCTTACTGGGCACACAGACGCTTCGTGGGCAGACGATGCCGAGACCCTTAGGTCCTCATAGGGCTACTGCTTTAGCCTTGGTTCAGGTGCTGTCTCGTGGAGAGCTACTCGCCCCTTGTCTGTTGCCAATTCCAGCTGTGAGGCCGAGATCTACGCCGGTGCCATGGTGGCACAGGAGCTCCGCTGGTTGACCTTCGTGCTCTCTGACTTAGGTGAGTGGCCTAGCTCTGCCCTGGTCCTATACGCTGACAGCAGGGCCATGATCCTCCTGTATTAGGAGCCATGACTCGAGGGCAGAGCGAATCACATCCAGCTGCGGTACTTCCTCCTGCGTGAGCTACAACAGCACCGCCAGGCTTGCTTGTGCACTTGGCCTCCGGTGCCAACACAGCTGATATCTTTACGAAGGCGCTTTCGCCTAAAGATCATCAGCGGCACTGTGTACAGCTAGGTCTTGTTCCTGTAGCCTCTCACTTGCTAGGGCCTTGACTGTATACAAACCTTTTATATATTTTTTATCCTGATTGGCCTTGTGGCCTCTTCCAGTGGTTGGACTAGTAGTGCTGCCCTGGTTTTGCTTTTTGCTTGGTATGTACTCGTTTGACTTGTCTTTAGACCCTTCCCTCAGAGGTCGGACTAGTAGTGCCACCCGGAGCTGCTCGTTCTCTTGTTAGGAACTGTCCTATAAAGTCTAGGGGGTGTGTCAAACATATATTGTTATGTTTGTATAGACTGTATAGGTTTGTGCCTTTGAGGGTACAGCTTCTAGGTTAGATTCCCTGGTACTTTCCCGTTCTAGATTATTCTCTCAATTTTAAACCCCGTTGGCCCCTTAGCGTCCCGTTGGCCCTTTAGCTTCCCGCTGGCCCCGTATGCCCAGCTGACCCCTTAGCGCCCCGCTGGCCCCTTCGCACCTCGCTGGCCCTGTTTGTGCCCCGCTGGCCCCTTAGCGCCCCGCTGGCCCCGTGCGCTCCACAGGCCCCCGTACGCTCTGCTGGCTCCGTACACCCTGCTGGCCCCGTTCGCCCAGCTGGCCCCGTTCGCAATCCGCTCTTCCCGTTCGCGCCCCGCTAGCCCCGTCAAGCCTCGCTAGCCCCGTGAGCCCCGCTGGCTCCGTACGCCCCACTGGCCCCGTTCACCCCGCTGGCCCGGTTCGCCCCGCTGGCCCCGTACGCCTCGCTGGCCCCGTTCGCCCTGCTGCCTCATTCACACCCCGCTAGCCCCGTATGCCTCGCTGGCTTCGTACGCCTTGCCAACCCCACGCCCGCTGGCCCCGTTCTTGCTGGACCCGCGCTAGCCAGCTCCGTACTTGCTGGCCCCCCGCGCCCGCCAGCCCCGTGCTTGCTGGCCCTGCGGTTGCCGACTGTGCGCCTGCTAGCCCCAGCTAGCCGGCCCCTAGCTCCACCGGCTATTGCTCCGCCCGCATTGGCCCCGCGCCGTGCAACCGCTACGCCGCCGTAACACCGTGTAGCTGCGCCGCCGGGTCGTTGCGCCGCCGTGCCGCCCCCGCTTTGCCGCGCCTGACCTACCGGCATTAGCTCCTTTCTGTGCCAGCATTCTTGTCGGCTGTCTCCACCGCTCTTCACTGCACTCCACCTCCCTCCACCATACTCCACCACTCTCCACCGCACTCCACATCACTATATCGCTCTCCGCCACCCTATCCTCCCCCTTTCCTCCTCTCCTTGTCAGCAGCAGTCAGCTGTTTCAGCAGTGGTGATGGCGGACTCACTGCTCCGCCTGGACGCGGATGGTCGGGCGATCGACTCCAAGGCGTAGCTGGTCGACCTTCGCTGTCACCTTACAGGTCAGCGCCAGGACGGTCACTCCTTAGCTGTTCATGTCGATGGCCTGCTTCCCCGCCTCAAAGCGCCTGTTGCCCTCCCTGCTGCTCCTATCACTGCTGATTGTGAGGCCTTTTCTGCTGCTGCGCTTGCTCGTGCTATCTAGGACTCGTGCGACGCCGTCGCAGAGCTTGCTATCAGTCACGCGCTCCCAACGCCGGGTGACGCGTCCGCGTTCCATGTCTGGGGCTGCCTTGCTCACGTTCGTGCCTCTGACACGGACAAGCTCATTGCCCTCACTTTCCTTTGTGTTTTCCTTGGTTTCCCCTTAACTCGTCTGACTAGCACTTTTACCACCCGCCGTCTCACCGCTTCTTTCACTCGCGTGACATCACTTTCGACGAGTCTGTCTCCTTCTACCACCGCTTTCCCCACCGCGGTCTCCCAGTTTCCCCACCCCTGTCTCTGGTTCCCACTCCCCGGGTAGCCCTTGCTCCCCTCCCTCCCTGTCCTGCTCCGACTCGTATGTCTCACGTCACTCCCCTCCCGTGAGTTGTCCCGGTCAAGGAGTCAGTTGACTCTGGTTGTCCCCTCGCCGCCTGTTTCTCCCCCGGTGTCTCCTCCTCTGCCGTTGCAGCAGCCGCCACCATTGCCGCCCCAGCAGCAGCAGCCGTCCGTGGGCTCTGGGGGTGCGGGCGTTGAAGAGGGTGCTAGTCTTTGGGTTCCTGCCGTGGCTCGTCCTGGGGGTCCTGGGGGTGGCACTGGTACTAGAGAGGCTTCTCATTCTGGGGGAGCTGGCATGGACAGTTCTGGAGATAGCCGTGGTGCAGCTAGAGGTTCTAGTGTTGGCGTGGAGCAACAGCAGCAGTTGCCGCCCGTGTCCGCCCTTCGCCTGCTCTTTCCCTCCCCTGACCACTCGCCTGCGCCTCCCCCACCGCTGCCTCCCCTGTCTGTCTATGGCCCTGTCTTTCCTACGCCAGACTCGCCTCGGGCTCGTTTCCCCCTCGTTCTCCTCCTCTGTCTCCTCTATCTCCTGACCGGATGCCTCCGTCCCACTTCTGGTCTCGTCGTCTCTCTCGTGCTCATCATGTCTCTCTTGTCCAGCGCCCTCACCCAATGTTGCTTTGTTCCCACGAGTCTCGTCCTCCTCTCTTCCCCTCGCCTCCTCCATCGTCGCTTGTTGTCATTCCGCCTTCTCTGTTTGAGTACCTTCGTGCCGCTAGTCCTCTTTTTCCTCGGGTCCTTGCCTCCCTCGTTACTGAACCGTCTATTCCTGTCACGAGTCTTGACTCTCTTGTCGCTGCTGCCGCTGATTTTTTACCTCTACCTGCCGTCTTGACTACGCCACCGCTCTGGTCTCTGACCCTCCCCGTCCTTCGTCCGTCGGGGGCGCTCCCGCCCTTGGCAGTGACGTCTTGGAGGACCGGCATTACGAGCTTGCTTTCCTGTCTAAGGCTGCGCCTCATCTCTGCTCCATGCAACTAGTCCTTGAGGGTGACCCAGACGCCTTCGACATCACGACCCCTTGCACTTACATTGAGGCGACCTCGAGACTATACGCCTCTCAGTGGATAGCTGCCATGGACGCGGAGACGACATCTTGGAGATCCACCGGCACCTACGTTGACGCAGTTCCCCCACCTGGGGTGAACGTAATCGATGGTCGGTAGCGCTTCAGGGTGAAGCGCCCTCCTGGAGAGCCGCCTGCATTCAAGGGGCGCTACGTGGCTAGATGCTTCAGTAAGCGCGAGGGTGTGGACTTCTTACAGACCTTTGCCCCGACCCCGAAGATGACTACTCTTTCGGCGCTGCTATACATAGCAGCAGAGCGTAACTACGAGCTGCACTTTCTCGACTTTGTTGGAGTGGTTCTGCCACCCACCGTTCGTGGCGCTTGAAGTTCATAAGGAGAGCGAATGAGGTAGGATTATGGCAATTCTACCGTCGTGGTGAGAAGGCCGAAAGAGCAGCAACTACAAGCAACCAAGAGGAGGATTTGGGATATCAGAAAAGGAGTGAGCAAGCATTCTTTCAGCTGTTCCATTCTGTTTCTGATGGAATTGCTGTGGGTCTGGATAAGTTTTCAGGCGAGAAAAATCTGGCTCAAGTGGCGTGGGCATACATGGAGTCAGCCTACCTCGGCCAAATGGAGATGAACATCGCTGCAGTGAGGAGGAAGCTACTGCTGCTGAGCATGGAGCCGAAGGAAGCCGTCATCGAGTACATCAATCGAGCCAAGAGCTACAACGACGATTTGGCCGCAATGGGAGCTGAGGAGAACGAAAAGGCGATGATGGGTTACATTGTCAACGGGCTCTCGAAGGAATGGGCAGCAGATCGACCTGCGTTGATTTGCAATCCACCTGCAAATATGACGAAGCTTCTGGAGATGCTGCAAGCCTTGGCGATATCCAAGGAGGATGTGACCCGACGGGAGAAAGCGGCCCAAGGAGAAAATGGGGCTGCGGGTGTGGAGCAGGAGAGGCCTGCAATGGTGAATGCGGTAGCTGCAGGGAGAGGCATGGGTGCATGCTTCCACTGCAGCAAGATGGGACATAAGGCATTTGACTGCTATGATAACCCGAGGAGCCGCAACTACAAGGGGAAAGGTGCTGCTGGTATGGGATGGAATGGAGTGCAGCAGAGTGGGGAAGGGGGTAGCAGAGGAGATAGAGGAGATAGTAGGCAGCAGAGGGGAAAGTTCTTTGGAGATTGCCACCACTGCAAGAAGATAGGGCATAGAGCGATCGATTGCTACTCGAACCCCAACAGCCGGAGTTACAGGGGAACACAGCAGCAAGGTTCGGCACTGGCAAAGGCACATGCAGCTGAAGCAGAAAAGGGGGAAGCTGATGTTATTGTGGGTGGTGCACATAAGGCGAATGTTGCACGTGCATCAGGGATGTGCCTGATGGCAAAAGGGGGTGGAGAAGCTGCATGGTATATGGACAGTGGGTGCACACAGCATATGACCAATCACAGTGAGTGACTGAATGATTTGAGGGCATCAAGTGTGCCGTATGTGCTTGTAGGAGATGATCGGAAATTGCTTGTGAAGGGAGAGGGAGATCTGATTTTGCAAGGGCAGTATGGGGAATTGAAACTGGAGAATGTGCTGCTGGTTGATGGTCTGCCACTGAATTTGATCAGTCAGTCATAGCTTGACAATACTGGATGCAAGACATTCAGTAACAAGGGCAGCGTGTGGATGTTTGACCATGCATGGAATGTGGTTGCTAAGGGGATGCTGAAGAATGGGTTGTATGAGATGCTGTTGAATGAGAAGGGCATGACAGATGAGAAGGTTACCTACCAACAGCCGACAGTGGAAGGGGTGCTGGCAAGGGAGGAGCTGTGGGCGAGCTTGAAAAGTGTACCTGTAGAGGAGCTGCGGAAGGAAGCGGTATCGATGGTGGCAGCAGCGGCTAAGGTAAACATGGAGACCCAACATAGGAGGTTGGGACATGTGGGGATGGAGCGGATTAAGGAGTTAGTGCAGAAAGAAATGGCAGTTGGAGTGGAACTGAAGGATGGGGATGGGAGCAAGGGGAAGTATGACATTGCGTGGAGGGAAAAATCACCAAATCCCCCCATCTCAAGCATCAGGTACAGGAGCCATATGGAGCGCTTGAGATAGTAGCAGCTGATGTGTGTGGGCTGCTGAGGGTGGCATCTAGGTACGGGAGAAAATACTTCGTCACGTTTACAGACCTAGGAACTAGGCACACGTGGGTGACTGAGATTAAGGATAAGACTGAGGTCTTCTCCAGTTTTCTCGACTGGATGGTGGAAGCAGAAAGGCAGGGTGGGAAGCAGCTGAAGGTGCTGAGAACAGACAATGGTGGGGAGTTTGTCAATGAGGAGTTCAACAGCTACCTGCGTTCCAAGGGGATTTTAAGGCAGTTGACAGTGCCTTACACTCCACAGCACAACAGCATAGCGGAGAGGGTGAATAGGTCACTGTTGGACTGTGTAAGGACAATGCTGGCGGACAGCGGATTACCACTGAAGTTCTGGGGAGATGCCTTGGGGATGGCTTGTTGGGTCAAGAACAGGCTACCTACGAAGGGCTTGGAAGCAGATATGACCCCACATGAAGCATTCTATGGGAGGAAGCCGAATATGGGGTTGGCTCGAGTGTGGGGCTGCATGGTGCAGTACAGGGAGCCAGCTGGACCAACCCATAAGTTACTACCTAGAAGTAAGTGGGGGCTGAACCTTGGGATGTGCATGGTGAGTAAGGGATGGGTGATAAAGGATGTGGAGACGGGGAAGGTGGTGGTGACCAAAGATGTGATATTCTATGAGAATGTCACCTACTTAAAGTGGAAAGGGGTGAGTTCGGAGATTGCAACGGCAGGGGCAGCAGCTAACCTAGAGAAGGTGGAAGGGCTGCTGGAGGAGACATTGATTGAAGGGATTGGAGATGAAGTAGAGGAGATTAGAGAAGAAGCAGCACATACTTGGGTGTGGGAGCTTCCAGAGAAAATGGCTGCACAGGGGAGAAAGGAGATGGAGCAGCAGGAGATAGAGCCAGAGGAGAAGGATGCAACGACCAAGGTGGAGATGGCACCAAGGGAAAGTGAGCAGGGATCAACTGCACGAGCTGATCACGATCCATGGAAGCTGCTAGATAGTGCAGACAGCCGTGAAGCAGAGAAGGAGATTGAGGAACTACTGGAGGATGGGGCAACATCGATAGGGGTACTAGGACGGGACGAGCAAGAGGCAGCTGAGACGGAGAAAAGTGAGGTGGAGTCACCTGCTGAGGAGTTGGGGCGAGGGAAGAGGGAGAAGAAGAGAAACCCTAAGTACGTTCACTTGCTCATGACTCCATGGAAGAACGTGCATACACATCTTCTCCTAACCATATCAGTAACCGCACTAGTATCACGGGCAAGACGGGAGGCGTATGGGCTGCCTAATGAGCCCTTAACAGTGGAATAGGCCTAGACAGGACCACAAAAGGAGCAGTGGAGAGCTGCAATTCAGGAGGAGTTAGACACACTCGCAGAGAGGGGCACTTGGGAGTTAATGCCCATGCCAGAGGGAAGGAGTGCAGTCGGGGTGAAATGGGTCTTCAAGATTAAGACAGGAGACAAGGGGCAGCTGGAGCGGTTTAAGGCTAGGTTAGTGGCGACACCGACACACAGGTAGAGGGGATCGACTACACCGATACTTATGCTCCTGTAAGCAAGCTGACGACTGCAAGGGCATTTCTCAAGGTTATAGCAGCAAGGAACTACTTTCTAGTGCAGCTGGACATCAAGAACGCTTTTCTGCATGGGGTAGTTAAGGAGGAGCTGTATATGGAGCAGCCACCAGGGTTTGAGGACGGCACTAACAGGAAGTGCAAGCTTATTAAAGCATTAGCTGAAAAGGTGTGTGAGCACCTAGCTGAAGTGTTCCAGGTGAAGCAGATTCCGAGGACGACGCTGTTTCTGGGGATGAATCTGGAGAGGAACAGGGAAGAGAGGAAGCTGTTCTTATATAAGCAAAAGTACTGCAAGAGGGTGGAGCAGAAGTTTGGTCATGGCTATGTGAAGGCCATTACTACACCGCTGAGTGGAATGGCAGAAACTGATAATGAGAGTGAAGAGGATGTGCGGAAGTGGGGTGGTCAGGAGCGGGCGCTGCAGATGTACCAGTCTATGGTGGGACAAGTTATGTACCCAGTCTCATGCACCAAGGTTGACATGGCCTATGCAGCAAGCTACTTGGGGCAGCACGCGCAGCAGGGGAGGAAATGGAGGGAGATGAGGCGGACATTAGATTACCTGCTGCAGCATCAGGATGAGGGTTTACTATTTGAAGGAGGAGAGGAGACATTGGAGCTGGTGGGGTATGCTGATGCCTCACATGCATCATGCAAGGAAACCAGGAGAGGGGCATATGGATATGTGTTCCTACTCGGAGGGACAGCTATTACGTGGCAAGCTAAGAAGCTGGCAGATATAGCACTCTCAAGTGCTGAAGCGGAGTACATGGCATTGTTTTTTGCGTGCCAAGAGGGAGTGTGGTTGAGGAGGTTGCTGAACAAGTTGGAGATAGACGTGAAGGAGCCTACAGTGGTAAGGACGGATAGCAAGTCAGCTATGGACTTGGCGAAGAACGACAACTGGCATGGGAGGACTAAGCACATGGATGTGAAATATCACTGGGTGAGGGAGCAGTTAGAGAAGCAGCAGTTCAAGTTTGAGTTTGTGCGCACTGAGGAGCAGGCAGCTGATTTCTTGACCAAGGTGCTGCCAAGGGCCAACTTTGAGTACTGCAAGGAGAAGGTCGGGATACGTACCTTGAAGGACATGCAGGGGAGTGTGAAGGTGACTTAGAGGGTGTGGTTGGCAGAACCACAGGGGAGGTTGTTGGAGTGGTTCCGCCACCCACAACGGACTACTCGTGACTTGGGATGACGAGGAGAGAAATGCGGACTTGGGGACGAAAAGGAACGAAGAAGCGGGTATTGCGTGGGCGTGAGGTGTACGGAAAGGAGAGAATCAAGAGAGAAGGTTGGAGGAAAGAGTGATTGAGTGGAAGAAAGGAAGGGAAGTGGCGAGAAACAGATTGACGTGGGGCAAAAATTGGGTTTCGGACGAGGCGTGTTCAACAAGCATTCGGACTTCGGACCAGTGGCGTGTTCAGCAAGAAAGTCGCGGTTGCGTGTGCAACTCGGCTTGACACGAGGCGCGCGAGTTACTCGCCAGCACACGGCAGTTACGAAGCACGAAATTGCTTGTACTTCCACTATAAAACTGTTAGAACATTTGTGCTTTGTATCTCATTGTTTCTCGATAGCTTTTCTTCAGGGCAGTTTGCACGAGCAGGTCAACCTGCGCTGTCCGCCAAGCTTTACCGACACCTTCACCCTAGGGACCCAGTGGCTCCTCCGGCGCCCGGTTTACGGCCTGCGGCAGGCACTGCGCGAGTGGCACGACACGCTGGGTGCTACGTTGGCTGACTTGCAGTTCTTCTCGTCGTCGGCAGATCCTTCACTTTTCGTTCGTGCTAGCCAGACCCCGTTCTACATCCTAGTCTATGTAGACAACTTGGTCTTTGCTACTGCAGACACAGACGCACTGGCCTCCGTGAAGGCTGAGCTGCTGAGGAGACATACCTGCACTGACCTAGGAGAGCTGCGCTGCTACCTTAGCCTGCTGATCTCCAGGGACAGAGCAGCACGCACAATCACTCTCACACAGTCACACTTGGTGCGCCAGGTCCTTTAGAGGTTCGTTCTTCAACTCTCCTCCGCACAGCCCACACCTCTGCCACTAGATCACTGGATCTCGGCTCTCATCCCTGAGGAGTCTACAGAGCCTAGTGGTCTATACGCAGAGCTGTTGGGTTGCCTCATGTACCTGATGACTTGCACTCGTCCAGATCTCGCATACCCTCTCAGCATCCTGGCTCGCTTTGTGGCCACACGCAGACACTGACCACAACACTGGTCGGCTGCTAAAAGGGTTTTGCGTTATCTAGCAAGTACATCGGGCATGGGGCTAGTGCTAGGACGATGCTAGGATGCTCAGGTCCTCCCAGGGCTACTGCTTTAGCCTTCGTGAAGGTCTCATCTCGTGGAGGTCCACTCGCTCGTCGTCAGTTGCCCATTCGAGCTGCGAGGTCGAGATTTATACTGGTGCCATGGCGGCACAGGAGCTCCGCTGGCTGACTTTCTTACTCACAAACTTAGGCGAGCGGCCTAGCTCCACCCCGGTCCTGTACGCTGACAACAGGGCCATGATCCTCCCTTGTCAGGAGCCTCGACTGGAGGGCAGAGCAAAGCACATCCAGCTGCGGTACTTCCTCCCGCGCGAGCTACAACAGCGCTGCCAGACCCGCGTAGTACACTTGGCCTCAGGTGCCAACACAGCTAATATCTTTACGAAGGCACTTGCCCCTAAAAAACATCAGCGGTACTGTGTACAGCTTGGTCTAGTTCTTGTAGCTTCTCACTTGTTAGTCCCTTGATTGTATACTACTTATATTGTCATGACTGGCCTTGTGACTCTTGTTCCAGTGGCTGGACTAGTAGTGCCGCCCTGGGTTACACTTGTTTAGTTGGTACTCTTGCTGACTGGTCTTTGGACCCTTGCCTCAAAGGTTGGACTAGTAGTGCCACGCTGAGTTGTGTGTCTATTGCTAGTCGGTGCCCCTTGTCTAGCCTAGGGGGTATGTCAACATATAATTTGTATATATTATAGGCTAGCTAGGTGCATGCTTATATAGAATACAACCCCTTAGGTTATATCCCCTTGTACCACCTCATTCTAGTCAATTCGTTCGACTCTAAGATGTTGTACTCTCTATGAGCATGCACCTATCTAGCATTATAACATATACAATTAGGACATGCCAGAAACGTTCATTTGTGCGACAAAAACATGTTCATGAGACGAGATGAGGGCGTGTGGCAAGTAGATGCAAAGGGAACGACGGGAGCGGAGCGGAGGAGGTGGAAACCCGTCGCAATTGTGGTTTCGCCATGTGTTCGTATAAATTGTCCGTCCCTGCAACAGCGCGCATAAAGCCTCTCTGAAGCTCTAATTTGGTAGTTAGCTTCTCGCTCACTCCGTCCCTGCAGCAGCGCGCATAAAGCCTCTCTTAGACTCTAATTCGGTAGTTAGCTTCTCGCTTACTCCGTCCCTGCAGCAGCGCGTATAAAGCCTCTCTGAGGCTCTCATTCGGTAGTTAGCTTCTCGCTCACTCCGTCCCTGCAGCAACGCATATAACGCCTCTCTGAGGCTCTCATTCAGTAGTTAGCTTCTCGCTCACTCCATCCCTGCAGCAGCGGGTATTAAGCCTCTCTGAGGCTCTAATTCAGTAGTTCGTTACGCAGCTCGCTTTAGCGCAGCAACAGACTCACTACCATTGCCTAGGAGGAAAAAATGGCTCATGACATCTGCCACTTATAGCCCTTCCAGCAGCAGTTCCACCACTCCCGCCATCAGGGTCCGACGGCGCCGACGCCATTTACCTGTAGCCACACCGCTTTTGTGGCCCTACCACCTCTGCCACGAGAATCAGGACTACCGTTCGGAGGCCGGACTGCTGTCATTTTGCACCATCTATCCCACAGCTGCACGGAAACGTGCCACTCCCTCCGTGCCTGCATTTGGCCACGGACAGCTTCGACACAAATCCGTGACGCACAAACCAGCGCGGCGTCCCATGCTTGCACACCTTCCCGCCCAATTTTCCCTGCGCTGCAGCAACTTCCGCACCACCTGGGCGTGCCTCCTGTGCTGCAGCAACTTCCTTTGCTTTTGCCACTGCCTTCCTCAGCACCTCTGCTACTCCCGCTTTTCTACTCTACTGCGTCTTTCAGTGGGGTCAGTATACGTTCTTAAAAAATGCCTCCGCGCAAAAGAAGCCGCTCACCCGGTCTCGCAGCATTAGCCCCTACCCTGACCACATCTCGATCACGACCTTCTCCTCCCTATGCTACAGTTCCTGTTCCCCCTCCGAAATTCGCCCCGGCCTCCTTTTCCTCCGACCCTTGTCTCGCCTCAGCTCATCAGCACCTCGGTGACCCCGCTCCTCTTCCACGGAGCCCTCTTGTGTCCCAAAAGCAGAAGATGGTCCTCCAGCGGGTTCTTGCGGAAAGTCTCTCTTTCGAATCCGCACCTGCACATCTCAGCGGCCAACAAGCGCATCCGTCCCTACAGCCGATCCGGGAATTCTGCCCCCGCTTTCGCACTTCACTATGGATCCTCCTCTTTCCCCCCAACCCTCCCCGCACCTTTCCACGCCTCCCCCCCCTTCCCCGTCCTCCTCGAACCCATCGCCCTCTGCCAAACCGCCTCATGTTAGTCCTTTGTTTATCTGCCCTCTATGTCGCCGCTCTTGTGCCAATGCAAGCGGACTCAGGCGCCACAAAACAGCTTGCCAACAGCACACTTCTGCATGACAGCAAGCCGCTTGCCCGCCTCCTCGCACTGCCCCTCCGCATGCCCAAGGTTTTTCTGCCCATACTGCTTCTCCTCCCGTGATCCTGAATTCCACTTGGGACGCTGTCCTTACCTGGGACTGGTCCACATTCTTCAGCCCTAAGGTCTCTCCCAACCCAATCATCCGTCGCATTCCTCCTCGTATCCGCCTCCTTGTTCGTGATGCATTGCTTGTCCCGCTTCGCTGGCTTGCACAGTTTCCTTCTGACGCATCAGCTCATCTTCTCTTGCTTGCTTTCCCATGCCTCGTCCTCCACTTGTCCGTGGCTGCCCTCTCACAATCCCTCATTGCGTCATGTGCCCTCCTGGCACAAAGCTTTCTTAGTGGTGATTGGCGTGGCCTGTTCTTGGAGGCCTCCGCTGCAGCAACCCCTGCTGCCCGCCCCCTTAACCTGACCTCGGCCTGTTCCACGGCCACCCAAACCCGCCTCTATCACGCTAAGCGCTTTGCCTCATTCGACGATTGGTCTCGCTCTCTCGCTGTGCTTGAAGCTCGTGAGCTCGCTCCACCGACATCAGACACACTCTCAACTCTCTCACTTTCCCTTTCACTTCCCCTTTCCCTTCGCTCTTCCCCTTTCTCTTCCCTCATCACTTTTTTTCTGTCACTTCTATGCCTCCCCTTCCCCCCTCCACTTCCGTTATGGCACCATCCATTCCTTCCAATTTGCCTCTGATGTGCACCAGGGGGACCCTTGTGCCCCCAACCTGTACGCCTTCACGCAACAACTTGCCATCCTCCCTACCTAGCGGCAATTCCCTTCCATTCTCATCACCTCTTACGCGGATGACACTTTCCTCGGTGGTCCACCCTCAACTATCTCGACGACTTTCATGGCACTAAGGTACACAATGGCATCAAACATTAGGTACATCTTATCACTCTGGAGCTCAGCTTTGTTGCGCTGTTGGAGGACTAGCATCTCCTTTTGGGGCGGCGCACTAATGTCAGTCGCCGAGACGTTCAGTCAGGTACAACCTTGGCTTTGGATATCTCTATGGCTGACCCCCAACAGGGATTCCCTCACTCCAATGCTGCTACGGTCATTGGTTCGGCCGTCGCTACACGCAAAAGTGAGAAGACCACCCTCTATACCCCGTCGTTGTGTGCCCGTCCTGATGACAAACTTCTTCCCCTTGTCGTCGAGACTTTTGGGTGCTTTGGGAAGTCCTTCCAAGAATTTCTTAAAGACAGCAGCCGTCGTGGTGTTAAAGTGAGAACTGAATGATGGACTAGAAGTGGAAACCTAGAACAAATACTAGTTGGTTGTACTCACTAGAAGCATACCTCAGTCTAGCCTATAACTTGTACATAGCTAATATGTATAAGTTGACACACCCCCTAGGCTAGACAAGGGGTGAAGCTAAGCAAGAAGCAAACAGCTCAGGGTGGCACTACTAGTCCAAGCACTGAGGCAGGGGTCTGGAGACCAGTCAGCAAGAATACAAACAA